GTATCGTTGTTCGTCGCTAGATGGGGGATTCTAAAAGGCAGGGTTCTGGAACTTCCTAGATTGGTTGCTTGATTTCGTCTTTCGCTTGACTTGTTTTTGGTCTGGTGATACTTGGACGTTGCATTTGTTTGTTTGTTTTTGTTTTTATTTGATTTTTGAAAACGACCAAAAAAAAATAACCCAAAAAAAAAAAATAGCCCAGGCCGCGGATGGATTGGTTTCTTGCTGCGGTTGGGCGGGGACGAAGATTTTCGGTGTGGGGAGAGGAGGAATTTGGGGAAATGAGGGGAAGAACGAAGCAGAAGCCATCGATTCAAATACCCCGGTATTTCGATGTGGGCAGTCTTCACTCTGGATCATCAACCCCAGCCTCAAAGACTCTGATAAGCTTATCTTGAGCCCGTCTAGGTTCCGATTTGACCAGCACAAGCCATAAGATGACAAGATCTGTCCTGAGCCTCCTGGATCTAGAGGCCTGACCAAGATGAAAAACGGTATCTCGTTAACCAAAGAACATCCCCGGGGTGTCATGGATCTATCCATGCTTTGGTTTAGGTCTTACTCTGAAATACCAATGGATAATGAGATATGACCTGCATCCCCCCTTTTTTTTTTATGTAGATTGAAGATTCCTGTGAAGTAGATGAGGGCACGGAATACGACCCTCAACACCCTTTCGATGATGAGCACCCTCCGAACAAGGCTTAGGGTCTACTCGCAGGATATTTTAGAATGAAGAGTGAACGCGGATTATTACATGGGGGATAAATTTCGGTTATTTTTCAAGTGGTCTCCTCTGATTATTTTTTTTTTCTTTTCTTGGATTCAATGTTGGAGAGTCGGAGAGTAACCAGGTTGGCTCGGATGTGGATGGCAACAGGCGACAAGACGTCTCAAGGGTAGGCAAGTCTGAATGCCGAGCATGTTGAGCATCAACTCGAATTACAGATCTAGGCCTGGGGGGAAAAACAACACGTATAGTGTTTCAATTCAAGTATGTAGGGCCGGTTATTGTAATGCGATGGCCAACGATCCTCCGAGACGCCGTAAAATAGGCCAAGCAGATGCGCATTTTTCCAGCAAGATCATTAAAATACAAATGGGAAGATAGCAAGAACCGTCGATCAACGCACCGACACCCCAGAGCGATCGGTGAACATCCGAGCGGCAATGTTCATGGAGGCCAGCTCTTGGAACAACAGCTTGGCAGCGTAGGGGATATGGACTTGCGAGATGCGGTGCTTGTTGTTGCAAAGACGGCACTCAAATAGACCTTTCTTCAATTTCCTACAAAGACGGTTAGTTTTCAGTGCGACGGGAAAAAAACAGTAGAGAAGGATTGGAAATACTTACGCAACAGGTGTCATCAGGCCGCAATCGTCGCAAATATGAACACGGAACGGATCAGAAACGTCAAAGAGACGCTCCTTCAGGAAAGCACTGGCACCGTGGGCGATCATACAATCACGCTCCATCTCTCCGAAACGAAGACCACCATCACGGGCACGACCCTCCACAGGCTGGCGGGTCAAAATCTGAGTAGGACCACGAGCACGGGCGTGGATCTTGTCGTCCACCATGTGGCGCAGACGCTGGTAGTAGGTAGGACCCAGGAACACCTGCGCCACCATCTTGCGACCAGTGTGGCCATTGAACATGACCTCGAAGCCACGCGACTGGTAGCCGTGCTCACGCAGCAGACGGGAGACCGAGTCGACAGTGACATCGGTGAAGGGAGTAGCATCACCCTCGAATCCACGAAGAGCGGAAACCTTGCTGAGTTGGCATTCGATCAAATGGGCAATGGTCATACGGGACGGAATGGCGTGGGGGTTAATGATCAGATCGGGAACGACACCTTCCCGAGTGAAGGGCATATCCTCCTGTCGGTAGGTGATACCAATGGTACCCTTCTGACCGTGACGAGAGGCAAACTTGTCACCAATCTGGGGAATCTTGGTGGTACGCATGCGAACCTTGACGAACTTCAGATCGTCATTACCAGTGGAGACGAGAACCTGATCAACGATACCGTTCTCGGTGCTGCGCAGAGGCGTTGATACGTCAATCTTTGTGTGTGCCTTGGTGCGCTGGCCAAGCTCCTCCGCATCAGCAGCCAGGGGAGCGGTCTTGCCGATAATAATGTCTTCTCCAGAGACACGCACACCGGGAGCAACGATGCCGTCCTCGTCCAATTTATCATAAGTACCCTTACGCATACCAAGGGTGTCAATGCGCATAGGCTTTTCGAATCTCTCAACAACTTGCAGTCCCACCATCTTTTCGGTATCCGCATAGGTGCGGTAGAAGAGACTGCGGAACAGACCACGATCGATACTGCTCTGGTTCATGATAACGGAATCTTCCTGGTTATAACCAGAATAAGTTGCAATAGCGACAATAGCATTCTGACCGGCGGGCAGCTCTCGGAAACGCAGGAACTCCATGGACCGAGTAGTGGCCAAAGGCTTTTGTGGGTAGTAGAGAATATTAGCCATAGTCTCCATACGCTGCGAGAAGTTCGTCAAGAAAACACCCATGGCTTGTTTGCCCATGGCAGACTGATAGGTGTTACGTGGCGACTGGTTGTGATCCGGGAAAGGAATAATACTAGCACAGACACCCAAGATCATACTAGGATGGATTTCGCAATGCGTCCAGGTGTGGGCGCGCTGGCTGAGAATTGACCGAACACGCTTGTTGGGGTCACTGGTTTCGTCTTCGGGCAGAGCGTAACCGGCCTGAAGCTGTCTGGAGATTTCGAGATCCTCGGGAGTCATGACAATCATGATGGTTTCCTCTTCTTCGGCATCGACATACTCAACTGCTCCAGAACGCACCAGACCGTCCCATCCGAAGTATTGTTCACGACGTTCTTCTGGGCCCAAGTCTGGTGGCAAGTCTTTGTCGGCCTCGAGCTTCCGAATGTGTTCTTTGTTGAGGACCAATCCGCCCGAGTTCTCACTCTTGGGATCGTTGTCGATAACGAACAGTGGCCGGCAGACACGTCCAGTATCGGTGAAAATTTTGAACTCTCGTTCACGAATGTCACGAATCAAACTGACTTCGTGGGAGATCATGTTTCGTCGACGCAGATTTTGCATCGTGGTAACAAGATGGGAAGGGTCCCGGTGAATACCCACCCAGACACCGTTAACAAACACCTTTGTTGCGTTGGGCGTCACTTGGGGTTCAAACTCCTCGAGAACTTCCATGTTGCGCTGAATCATGAAGTCCACGATGGGTTCGGCAGGTGTACCAACAGTGATGTAGCACATCAATGCCAGGTTCTTGACGAGACCACAAGCTTGACCTTCGGGTGTCTCAGCCGGGCAGACCAGGCCCCAGTGAGTATTATGGAGTTGGCGAGGTTTGGCAATTTTTCCATCTCTGCCAATTGGGGTGTTCGTTCGGCGCAAGTGAGACAAGGAGGAAGAGAATGTGTAACGACTCAGCACCTGGGACACTCCAGCCTTGGCGGAAGCTGCCTTCTTCTGCTCGCCCCAGTTACCAGTAGCAAGGGCATACTTCAATCCACCGGTCAAAGTGCTAGCCTTGATACCAATGTTGAGATAAATTTCGCGATTGGTCTCAACGCATCGCTGCACGTAACGCTGGAGATCCTTTGTGACTCGGGTGAAAAGAGTCCGGAAAAGACTGGCCAAGAGCGGACCAGCCAAATCGAGTCGCTTCTTTCCGAAGTGATCTCGGTCATCGACATCGCGGCGACCCAGAGCACACTGAAGAAGTCGGTGCACCATATATCCAAGGAAGAAAGCTTTGCGGGTTTCGCTGCCCTCGCTCTGCGAAATGTGAGGCAACAATTCCTTCTGCATAATATCCCGGGCGTAGCGCACACGACGATCGTGGTTCAGGTTCGACTGTGACGATCCACGCTTGGCAATGAAATCTAGGGCAACTTCACGGTCCTGAATGACAAAGCCCTCCTCAATACACGGCTTCAACATCTCCAACATGGGGGTATCGTTGCGGTCATAGCAAATGTGGTTGAGGATATCTTCATCGGAAACGACGCCCAGCGCACGGAAAACGACGACGATTGGAATATCGGCCTTGACGTAGGGAAGAGTAGAACGAATAGTCGGGCCGAACCCTCCTTTAGCGCTGTCGCCCTTGGCGAAAAGTTTCAAAGTAAGCGACGAAAGCATACGCGAGCCCTTCTCGACCGCACTTCGAATTTCGGCAATGTAGGGTGTCGGGCTGGGGGGTGCCTTCTTGAAGACCTGGACGATGTTGCCTGCACTGCGCTCCTGTGCGATTAAAACCTTTTCACTGCCGTTGATGACGAAATAACCGCCAGAGTCGTAGGGGCACTCGTTCCAAGCGTAAAGTGACGCATCGTTCAGATCCTTAAGGATACAGTATTTAGACTTCAGCATAATTGGCATCTTTCCAATGAAGACTGTTTCCTCCTTCATCTGCTCCTGGGGCAGCTGCTTCGTTTCCCACTCGAGGTAGGTGCCTTGTGTTTTCGGATCAGTCTCCCCATCATTATCATCATCGTCGTTGGGCTTGCCCATCCTCTCACGACCTTCCATAATCTTCTTTGTGACACCGAGGTAGAGCGGGGAGGCGTAAGTAAGGTTTCGTAAACGAGCTTCTTGGGGCAACATGATCGTGGTTGCACCATCGCCTTCAGTAACAGATGGGCGCGAAAGCATGACAGTGCCAAATTTGAGCTCGTAACGGCGCACAACAATCGGCTCGATTTCGTCTTCGGAGGGGGGTAGAGTCTGGTCGAGAACCACCTGGCCTTGCTCCTCCACAAGCTCCTGCATGGTCGAGGAGATGAATTCATCGAATGAGTCCAACTGCTGAGAGACAAGACCCTTCGAGTCAAAGAAGGACGTGATCACCGTCCAGCAATCCTCGGAGGTGATGCCCTCATCCGCCTCATCGTAAAAGTCCTCCTCATATGTCTCGTCGTAGTCGGCCATGGTTGCGGCGAACTGAAGTTAGATATCGATCCAATTATGGAGATGAGGAGTAATAGGAAACAAGAAAAGCGCAAGGCGCGTCGGCGTGGGAGCAGCTCCGCAAGAATCGCCCAACGCGCTGCAACGCCCGCCTGTCAACTTCCGGAAGTAGGGTTATCAGGAAGTCAAGAAGTCAGAGACAGATGCAAAATAGCAAGGCTGACAAACTGGGGCGGGCGGATGAATGAGAGGCTCCCCGATATTATTCCGATGAAGGGACTGATCTCCAGACGTTTGGATGCTTCTCAGTAAGGCGCTAGTCCCGATGGAGTGGACTACACGTGATTTTACTTCACCGCCCTGACATTTGAGGGTACACGTGACTTTCCCGCCCAAGTAAGCGTGGCGAGATGGGAGAGCAAATGTGACTCTCGGAGAATTCTTTAAGTAGTATAAACCATGTTTGTGGTCAAATAATTAAACTAAGCCGTGATGGTCGTAGGAGCGTTGCAAAATTTGAGTTCTGTCTACCCACACATGAAATGTACATGTCGAAGAACGCAATTTCCACACATTCCCCGACAACCTTGCTCTACATTTTCCAACTTCCATCCTAACTTCTAGAAATGTGCCCAGCATGTAAACATCTCTTATAACACAAGTAGTGGGATATAGGGGTTTGAGAGCAAGATCTTCAATCAGAATGACATGCTACATCCTACAATATAACTATGGAATCTCTGTCAACGTCGGCTCCGAGGTGTTGACCCTGTGGATGGGATTTGTTGATAGCATTGATATTATGGTGCATTACAACTCCATCGTTGTTCAAACAAACTGCAAAAGAGTACTCAGCATTTCCTTCAAGTCCTTATGGCCCGGCTCTTCCTCTCCAAGACCTTCGATTTGTTCTACTCAAGTTAGCATCTAGCAAGCATAGAGCTGTGGGTTTCTTACCTTGCAAGGTGCCGCGGACCAGGGATAAATCTTCATCACGGTCTGCAAGAAGTGAAGCGATCTTCCCCTTCGCTCCATCATCTTCGGCAATGAGCCATGCCAGAATAACATCGATCGTCTGGAGTGGTTAGCAAATAGCCTTGTCAGCGCAGAGAAGGAATCGTACCTGTAACGAGAACAGACCTGCATCCAACCTCCTCGACAGCCATTCGCCAGCCATAAGTTCTTGCTCATTTTTGTCAAACGTTTGGCGCTCTTTTTCAATGGCTTGCTCGACAGGTAACACGCGCGCGGCATACTCGCGCCGGAGATTGACGAGCTTCTCGATTCTCGCATAGTCCTTCTCCATAAACTTGGCCAACGTCCGGATGCGAGTAGCAGAACCACCCGGCAACAGACGGAGAAGGGAGGCGAAGATTCCTAAGAAGTGTTCAATGGTTTGTCCCTCTTGCTAGATAGATATTAGCACAACACAATCTGACTGTGAAAGACTGAGCTGACCTTCTTCAGGAACATTCCGAAAACTGTCTTCAGGCCAGCTGCCTCCACCAACCTCTCGCAGGCCGGACCGCCTCCCACTCCACCCAAGGCGTGATCAAGAACTCTCAAAGCACGTGGCTTACTGAACTTGCCTTCCTTGAGCATGATCAGCGCAAGCTCAACTCCTTCGGCCTCGACAAATTTTTCTTTCCCTGCGTCTTCCTCGACAAGACATATCAAAGCATCAAAGAGATTCTCCACGTATTCTTCCTCGTCAGATTCCTTGGTAGGATCGCGTTTGCGGTAAGCACTTAGCAGCTGCAGCAGGATATCGATGCCGTCGAGCTCAATAAACTTTGTGCGATTCTTTATGGTAGACTGTAAAAGGATTGCCAGTATTTCTGCGGCATACTGTTTATTTTGGCTGACAGTCGCTTCTTTTCGTTGAATACGGGACAAGATCCAAGGCAATATTGCAGCGTCCTGTCCAATTTTCTCCGCATGTGAAGCCTGGGAGGCTAGGTTTTCCATTACACCTGCATTGAATTAGCAAATCGTGACATATTTAATTCAATTAGAATACTCACCCAACACATAGTATATTCCCGCTCGATCTGTCTCAGACCCTTCATCGAGTCGGGAGAGATTTTGGGCCAACAATTCGATGAGATCCGCATCCATCTGTTAGTCTTTGTTAGTACTTGTTACTGATAGTGCCATACCACAACATACCATTGCGCTAACAAGAGCATCCCAATGTTCCTGCTTTGCCTCAACGTCCTCGTCTGTTAATTCACTGATTATCTGGACGACATCTATTGCAATATCCGCATTTTCATGGGACAAGAGAGAAGTCAAGGAAGCGACGCATCCCATCTTCGCAAACTCCTCGTACAGCTCAGAATGCTCCGACAGGATGGATAAGCCTTTGATCTCAGTATCCAAGTCGGCCTCGGAAGTCATGAATCTGCAGAATCATTAGCAGCTGATGAATATAGCTATTCCGGCATCCACGTACTTTTTTGGATCGCTCTCAAACTTTGCTCGTAGTTCAGCGTTTTTGGAAATCTTCCTCTCGAAATTCAATGCGAAACGGCGCACCCACGCAGAATCGAATTTCTCGGGCTAGATGAGCATGCTGTTAGCACCTGGACAAGTATCCCGTGTACCACGAATTCCATACCGGAGCATCGTCGTCCTCTTGCTGGTCAATGTATTCCATTGCTTGAGCTGTCTTGTGCTCCATTCCACCTCCAAAGAAGCGGCCTTCCTCGTCGTCTGGGACGTCCTCCTCGAAGTCTGGAGGGAGCTCGGGTCCAGCTTCACTGTCGTCAATCTCGTCCTCTACCATTGGGGCTTTCCCCTTTGATCTTACATCACCACTCAGATCTAATTTTGCTGATTTGTAGACCTCATCTGTTGAGTACGTCAGGATTTGCGGCCAGCGCATTTGCGGGGAAAGGGCGTACTTGGATCTTGGACAGGCTCGAACTTGCGCTTAGCGCTCCCTGTGGTGGGGGGTTTCTTTATACGTCAGGTATGCCTTCAATTCAGTAAATGTACTTCGAACTCACTTTGAAGAGCTCATCGACGTTCGTCATGGTAACTGCGGCTAAGACGCCTGTTGAGTGGACAGTATGAAGACAACCAATCTCTGAGACAATAGTATAAATAGCATGTAAAATGGGATTGTTTTTTGAGGGAGATCTTCAAAGCAACAGTAAGTAAAACATTAATATCAGGGAAAGGCTAGAAGACGCTGTCGCATTGTCCTTGACTGCGCGGGCAAAATAAATACGGTTGCCAACAGGAGCTAGAGGCGCAGTGACGCCAAGAGTTTCGAACCCGCAGATTTCTCGACGTGCAATCATCACTCCAACATCAACATTAACATACGTCCTCTACCTTCGTTCCTCATATCACCTACGAAATGGCCCCCAACAAGCGCATCGTTTCCTCTGGCTCTCGGCAACAGAAGGGCTTCGTCAGCACCCTCTACGACGAGGCCACCAACCCCGAAAACAGGACCATTGTCCGCAGCATCGTGATTTTCGGTGTACGTTTTGGCTAATCAACAATGTCAACATCTCAATTCCATTCAGGAAACTGAACAAATCTGTTTTAGGCCGGCATCGCGTTCCTCCACTCCAGCTTCGGAGAGTTCCTCCTTCCTCCGTAAGTCGAGCCAACCCAATACCTTTCCATCGAGATCAACCGTATGGACATCATCTAACTTGTGCAGTATGTAAAATGATTATGCCCTCTATACCATGCGATTCGGGCTCCCTCTTTTGAAACTATGGAAGCATATCGGCGTCGGTCAAAGGAAAAGATGATGCGTGGGCATCTTTCGCTCGGTAGTTCTTCGATTGGATAATTTGTACAATATTAAATTGGCAGAGCATGTATTATCCGACATGCTATGTCCTGTTTTGAGATTCATGAATATCAGGAATTTTGCCATTTGCTGGATGTCCGGCTGTGGTATCATCCACTTTTTGTTCCATTATGAATATGACTAAGTGTCTGAAGATTAAGAAGACGCTAGGATATCACTGACCATATCACACCACGCTTGGCAACAATAGAATCTACCTTTGCGGCGTTCTTCGGATGTGCGAAGATCAAGAATCAGAAGGAAACGCTCGATAGGTGGCGATCAGCGACTGCAACAAGCAGAGACAGATGTTACAGTTCTTTGCCTAGCGCATTAAATCTATGGAGATGCTCTCTTAATGGAGATGCTATTTTAAGACGAAAAGTACGACGAAATATTTTAGCAAAGATTCCAACCTTGAAACACGCAACGATGTTACTTTTGATGACCATCTTGGCAAGACATTCCAAGGTTGCAAGTAGCAACATACCACTGTGTCGGAAATTCCCTTTCGACCAAAAAGCCTACAATTGCAGTATTCGAGGTTGTTTCCAGTATTTCCAACACCAAGTACCACTGATCTGGTAGTACCTTCTTTCTGGTCGTTGGCTACACCTATCTGTTCCCTTGCAGTCTCGACAAGCACACCAGGCACGACTGTTTCCGCTGCAGCTCTGACCCACCCTGCTTAGCATGTCGTCCCTGTCAACACTATCATAGCGCTGGTTATGAAGCTCATGCATTGGGGACACTCTGCGTTTCCGTAGGTGATCCCGGGGAGTCCGGTTGCCGGCTCGTAGCATGTTGGGCAGACATTGGCGCAGCTGGATGGCATTGCGGAGTGAGGTTGCATTGTTAGTCAGCCGAGGTGATTGTATCAGTGCGGTTAAAGAATAGGGATTGGGATACAGATACACGGATACGCTTTTTCGTCGTGGGGACATATTGATATTGTGTTGGCGCATGTCTTTTAGATGCTAGCGGTTCGCCGTCGCCGCATTAAAATGACTATAGGCAGGAGAAATCCCGATGGCCAACAAGGACCAGGCCGTCAGCCACCAATCAAGCAGCGATACTATCTACTTCCAATCGAGGCTTGAACCATATGTTATCAGTGGTCATCTAGGCTAGTGAGATGGATGACCTTCGGATGCAGCAGCACACTTGACTATGCCCTGGGCTCACTTGCGGCTGACTCTCAGTAGGAACCCGTGCATGTGGATGAACATAGACTTTGACACTTCCTAGAGGACTAAAAATAATTCTCATGCTACGTATACTATTTTGGTCTTATGGATGTTTCAACAAGTCTCTTAGATAAGATATTTATCTAGTTATGTGAGGGTTAATAAAAATCTAGCGACCCTTTTCTGGTTCTTTGTAGCGCCTCTCTTTAGCAATCTCGTCTCTTTCGGCAAATTATGATTCTTTACCCACAACAGAGCAGGTACAGGAAGATGGGGAACGATAGAAGTGAATATGAACCCATGAGAGGGAGAGTGAAGGCCATGAAAAAGTACATGTAATATAAATTAACAGTGGGTACCAAATATTCCATGTGGCATGGACTAAGTGCTTAGTGGCCGTGCGTTTATTACGTACCTTTACCAAGTATTTACTCGGTGAGCCTAGTTAAAGCGGCGCTGAGATAGGAAGCCCCTGGCAGAGGAAATTTCATCCTTTTTTACGCACAGTCTAAACACATTTGTGATGTTCATTTCAAACAAGTCATAACAAACAAGTCATGGTGGTCTATATTCACATCGTTATAGATCTAGACAACTAGATCTTACCAATTCTAAATGCCTCAGGACAAGAAGATGACAAACCAAAATTCAGAAAGGGGACGATCACCCCAGGCGCCAAGACCCCACATGACGGCCCCACCTTTCCCCAGTTCCGAACACCGCCTTCTTAGCGTGGGCGTTGCCATCTCTGAAGGAAACAAAATTGCATACTTCTGTTCCCAGATAGTTCCTTATGCCACATTTTACATGAGAAGTCATGTCTTCTACTCCCGGTCTTAAGCGCAAGTTTGCAGAATCCCAGGAGCCTACGCTCAAGCGCCACCATCTTCATGGATACGATCCGCACTCCCCATGGTTGCACGAGTCAGCACCCGCCGGGATAGGACGGACACGTGGAAATTCCGGTGTACAGTACTCGATGCCCCTATCAAATATGGTGTCTGCCGTTCAAGACTTGATTGACCCGTACTTTGATCCACTGACGGCGATGCTGGGCGATGAGCCCCGATTTCTAAAACCCTTACCAGCTCGCATCGCCCCAGAGGACTTGGAGTTCTTGAGATTCCGTGGTGCACTCTCAATTCCAGAGAGCGGGTTGCGGGATGAGCTTCTTCGCTGCTACATAAAATGGGTGCACAGTTTTATGCCTGTTCTGAACTTGCAAGAGTTCTTACGCTGTGTCGCTGAAAATGACCCAGAGGGAAATGTTAGCATCTTACTCTTTCAGGCAGTCATGTTTGTTGGTACAGCCTTTGTCGACCTCAAGCATCTGCAGGATGCCGGGTATTCGACGCGGAAAAGTGCGCGTAATGCGTTCTTTACGCGATTAAGGGTTTGTTCTTCTTCGAGTGCTCGCCATCTCATCCAACTAACTTGCAACCAATAGTTACTCTATTTCCTCGACTGCGAAGAGGATCGCATCGAGATTCTCCAAGCATTGCTATTGATGACCTACTGGGCTGATTCGGAGAACAGTCCTCAGCGAGATATTTGGGATTGGATTGGAGTCTGTAACACGCAAGCACATTCGATCGGTTTAAACAAAGACCCTTCATCGGGTGAAATTAATATACGGAGCCGAAGGCTCCGTTCTCGACTCTGGTGGTGTCTGTACTCTAGGGATCGCCTGATCGCCATGGGCATGCGGCGTCCGCTTCAGGTAAACGATGGAACAAGCAATGTCCCGATGCTCAAACTGGATGATTTTGATTTTGAACCTTTCTCTCCTCATGTGGTATCAAAGTTCTATTGCCGCCAACTCCAAGATGTCTCTCATCAGAAACGCCTTGCTACCATGTTTATTGAGAAGGTGAAGCTCTGTCAATGTATTGGAAGGGTTATATTCGCGCAATATACACCATCTCAGCGCCAATTTGGAGCTACGGACCGGACTACAGTCACACTTGTCCCTCGACAGGCTTCCGAGTCTGAGTTTGCGCGATGCGGCCAGAAACTTGACTTGTGGCTTAGCGCGCTTCCTAAAGATGCACAATTCATCCCGAAGTCTGGGAAGAATTTCCATGATGGCGAGGATGTGCTACTACTTCATGGTGCGATGCTACGTATGCTCTACCATGCTACTAGTAGCGCCCTTCACCGGCCTTGGGCGAGTACCTCAAAAGGGACGGGCTGGCGCAATGCTGCCCGTATTAAAATGAACGATGCTGCTGCGGGTATCACACATATTATTAAAGGCTTAAACCACCTTAACCTCACAAGGTTCCTACCACAGTCTGGGGTGACTGTCATTCTACCTGCCGCGGTGGCGCATTTAACCAACACCATGTCTGACGACCCCGCTGTCCGCGAAAGCAGTGTCGACAATTTCCATCGTTGTATCCAAGTCCTCCACTGTCTTAAGGACATCTATCCAGCCGCCGGGCAAGAATTTGCCAACATTGAGGCCGCCATTAAAATGCAGGCAGGTGCCTCCAGTACATTTTTCCAAGTCATGGAATACAACCTCGACGCTCCTGCCACATCTTTGGCGACTAGGAAATTGAGCAATGCCAACTCTATATCGCACACCCAACCACATTCACTTGTCAGTGTAACTGAGGCTCCCAAGCGGTCAACACGGACTACGTCTACGCAAGATCATATAATGCATCAAACAAATTTCAGCATGGGAACCACATTTGAACCTGCGCAACCTACATTGCCCATTGATTTCGACCATTATTCCGACCTCAGCATTATAGACAACAACTTTTTCAATTATCTCTCCATCGACATCGACTCCTTTTCAGACATCCAAACTCCCAATCCAATGAAGTCCCACAACCCAGATAAACCTTATTTATCACCACCACCCCAAGACCAAGACACCATTGACTGGGCACAAGAGCTATTCCAAGAAACCGATTTGAACCAGTATAGCAACACAGAAGCCTTTCGCAACCCCGAAAAGACAACTCCTCCACTAGATCGGGATCCAAACTATGACCCTTCATTCTATTTTACTTTGAGGGACACAGATAACTTTGGCTCCGTTCATTCCCGTCATCAGTCAATGAACGACGCAAGGTCCGAAATAACTGGCGATCTGGATCGAGACTTGGGGTTCCAGTCTGATGATGACATGTTCTAGTAGATGTACCAAATTGAAACATGATTGCCGTGCCTCGATTCATGCTCTAGTTTTTTGATATATTTAAAAACAAACTAACGAGACAATTCAAGAGACAGAGAGGTTTATTGGCTGGGTTTAAATGGAAGTAAATGGAATGAAACACGAATGGGTCTACCTTTGTCTAGATACACTAGGCTGCGCAATGGTCTGCAAGGCCGAAATCAAGTAAAGCAAGTTTGAAGTGTGAATACGCTATCATTTTTGTGAATCAGATGCCTGGCTTTTAACCAGCAGCGTAAAGATCTGTACACATCCAATTCCCATGGCCACCATGATTCATGTGATTATCTCCCCCTTCCCTCCACACCATCATCCCCTAACCATCATCCTCCATCTCAAGTCCGTCATTCTTTACCCATCTTAATCTATTATAGGGGATTCTTCCATCAAGGTACATTGGCTTCTGGTAATCATCTTACTAGCCCGCACAGGAGGAACTCCACTCGCTCTTTTCACCTTTGGATGCAGCCCTGGAGGGAAGGTGCGCACTTATGTTGAGAGCCCTACAACAAATACCGCCTCCTTCTCTGGACTCCTCTTGGTCTCTACCTACGGCTAGCAAGACCTAGCCTAGAGTCAACTCTTCATCCAACTGTATCCATTTCGATGAAGAGTACCACAAGCCATGTAAGTAAAGCATACCCCTGCACCGAATTGTTTCTTGCTGTACACTTTTGTAGACCTAGTAAAATCCACCAACACCTCGGCATCCCATGCACGCTGTGCTTGACGAAACACCCATCGTGTTCCCTAGACCTATTTGAATACAACCACAAGTCAACTTGCTGGTCTTGAACACCCGTTGCCACGTGTACGCATCTCTTTTCATATATTCTCTGGCACCTCGGTCTTTGGCCAATGTCGAAGTACCCGGCACCTATGTGTCTTCCGATTTCCAAATGTTATGGAACACAACGTCAGCGGGAAAGACGTAAACCCCATCGACGGCATCTCATCTCTATCGGAAACTACACCGGGCCCTCAAACCCAAGAAAATTAACAAATCCCCACATCAATTAACAAGGCAGTTAGCACGAGTGTGGACGTGGCGGTGAAATTAGCAGCCATGCTGTCTTCAGCACACAAGGTGAGCTATAACAAAAAGAGAAAGCTCCTGGCCAAAAAATACCAAATCACTGGTCGTTCTAAGGCTGAAGACGCTTTCAAAGGTTTCTCCTCTGTAGCCTTGAAATCTTCGGGGCTATTTTGGGGTTCTTACTTGCGGTCAATCCAGCCCATGTCCTTGTGTTCTCACTCACCTGAGCTTTCAAGGCGCTCCTGGGCCAGTTTCCACGGCATCTTTGTTCACAGCAACCAGCGGGTAACTGGGGTCGAATTTAGTAAGCCCATGCAGTTTGACAGGAATTGAGGATAGCTCGGGATGTTACCTTAATTTTCTGCACCCTGGCTGTTGATATACGCATTGCCTGGGACGTTGTCAAATCAGCTGCCGTGACCGTACCCATCGTTTACAAGAAGCACAGAGCTACTCCTCGTTCTCTTTCTCGACATTGCCTCGATCTAGGCCTCGTTTCTTCCTTGGATAGCTATTCTTGGCTTCCGGGCAGTTGCTCCTCTAGATTATTGGACCCGTATGGAGTCTGTCGTTGTGCTTGCCTGCTATGCTTCTACTTTGCCGGCTTTTGCACGCGAGTTCTCACCGATATGCGCCCTCCATACGGTGATTCCGCTTAGTGGTCGCCATCACACACCCGTCTTGAGCAATCTCTGACTCGAAGAGGACGTCGCCTCAAAAGAGCGAAGCAGCTATGTCGTTTGGACGCAGGCCCATTTGTGGCCTCCACTTCTGTGGACGTGGAAAAAACCCCCTAGAGCAGTCCAGCCAATTTGAAAACGAAATTCCGTCCCGCATCCAACGAAAGCCAGCATGTGAGCTGTATTTGACCAAAGAATTGTACAAACGGCCTTTTAGGATGAGGACTACGATTTCCGCCTACAAGGGAGTCTTTTCTACCTGCCGTGTGTCTGCGTGCAGGCCTATGTAGGATAAGGGAGCAGTAAAACTGCATCGATTGCAACTTGGATGGGAGAGCCACCGTCTCTTATTCTCTGATTCAGAAGCCCAACTGAATTATTCTCCAAGAGCCACGATTTTTTGGTGCAAGGGAAATCTTCGGAAACGGTGTGCCAGGTAATTTCGTTCCGCGAAAATCATCACCAGACCCAGTAATCCTGAGACACTGTGTATGACTGCGTCTATTTCGCGTTATTTTCCCATTTTCCCAACGCGAAGCGGTCCATCATGGCCATTCTTCGCTCAGGGGTTGGCGATTTAGAGCCTTTTTTGCATACAACAATGAATTACGAGGGAGTGTCCGAAGTGCCGGGCCTATCAGAATTCTAATGACTTCACAACGGTTACTCTCCTTGTCGAGCTCCATACAATGGCTCCCAACTAAAATTTCGACCTTCACGGCTTGTTTCGGAACAATCCTGACTGAGTGCTGGCTTTTCCCTTGATATCAACCCTGCATAGAGACCCTGTTGAAGGCGTTCGTCAAAGCCAGTATTCGTGTGATCCTCTCTCCAGACCATCCCAGACCATCTTGTTCTACTGCAAACACCACACTAACCAATTCCCACGATTACTATCTCCTCTACACATCCCAGACCCACGCACCGCTACAGACAGCGGAACCTCACTCATTAAATTGCTTCTGATAATGGCTCTGACATCCAGGTTATCCCAACTAGCCGTTCGAAAGTTGGATACTTTATCCGGTTTGCCTAAAATCCGTATGGTACTAGCTTGTCCCTAGGCAACTACAATATAGCTCCGCGCGGCCCTCTCGGACCCATCGCTGCACTTGCCTTGCTTTGGAGTCAGTGAAGTCTGTCTCTTTGTGTGTTACCCGTGCCTTCTCAGGTCCTGCCATGCTTCGCCATCGTCGCCCATTCCGTGTCCCCGCCTCGGAGTATTTGTGCGAACACCGCCTCGCCAGTCTTCTGGCCTGCTTGCGTGCCCCGAGTGCAGTTGAAAAAGACCTGGCAAGTAGCCTACTACGGACTTCACTGACCTCCTGAACCCCATCATGCTACAATAAGTGGTAGACAACCTTCTGGGCAATCGCCCATATTACCACTGCAACCGATATGAATTTGAGCCAGTCCATGGAATGGAGTCAACACGTCTTGCAGCCCCGCGCGTGGTGCCACCCTAAAGCAGCTCTAGAATCTGAGAGAAATCAAGCTCTTCATCTTTTGGTAGCTCTCTGCTCAATGCTTTCCCAACGACCT